AAATACAGTTATGTGGTATTAAGACTTCCTATATCATCTTGTGTTCCTGATATTCACAAACAGTTTAACAACACATATTGCTTTGTTTCTTCACAGTTTAAGGGTATCTCTTTACACCATGACTGTACTTCATCCTTTCCAAATAGGGTTACTATTATTTTACTCTAAAATTTACTTTTAGGTTTATGAAATGAAAGGTACGTTACTTCCCTGAATGATAAAATATTATTTTAATCAAAGTTATGTTAAGACTGAAAGAAAAAAGTTGCACATCTAAAGGCAAGATTAACATAATTCTTAGAAAATTCAGAAGAATCTCGACCTGTCTGAATGGAAAATAATATCACTGAAACAGCACAAATGGTAAAGAGAAACACAGGGTGTTAAGACAAATGTTAATCACATATACCTATCAACCACTTATATATATATATATATATATATATGATTCGTGCAATTGAGTGTTACGAGGCACCTTCATTGCAAACAATTCAACAAAGAGTTACAACTAATACATTCTTTTCTCAAGTAACATATCTAAAAGATGATCAAATGTTCAGGTTGATAGTGAATTAAACTTGTCATTGTATTGGGAGAAGAATTAGGTCTATATAATTACTTGAATAGAGGATTACAAGTATACACAAAAGTTATTTCACCAAACAAAACGTTGTTCATGATTCTCTTAGTAATTTGTTTACAAAAAAAACAAGTTGCAAATACAGTCACTACAACTGTTAAGATCAACACCAGTACTACTTTTAAAAACTTTTTCTTTTTTGTAAATCAATAAAAGGCTAGATTACTAAACCTCATGAGATATTATTGGAATCACAGTAGAAAATAACATTAACAGCAAAGGTACTGATCTCATGAAATACTGTATTCTAATCTTTGTAAGTAGAACATATATTTAATTATCTATGTTGATTATCAGGTTGATTTTTTTTTGTTTTGCACTACATGCGTAGCTTGTTCTACTTGGAAGTGTATGTTAATCTAAAACAAGAGGTTGATGTTCCAAGATAATCGGCTTTTATGAAAATTAGGATGTCGGAAAATCAACTAAAATGTAATTTAATTCCCTTTAAATGGTGTAAAATATACTAAAACTCTCTTATTTTCCACATACAAATAAATTAGGTAATAAGAGAAAGGAAAATGTTAATAATCTTGTAGTATGTACATCCAAAAATTTCTGATAGGCAAATTGTTTGTTTTCTTCATAAACCATGAATCAGTTAATGATTCTTGAAGTACCATATCCAATAAGGTTTAAACACTGTCTCATTAAAGTTTATAAGTTTCCATCTTGAGCCAGTGGGGGGACATTTTTGTTTAAAAGAATCTACCCAATCCAGTTTTTCTTAATTTGAACTAAACTTTTTTGGACATATTTATTGACTAAAAAAGAAGGCATTTCACAAACTCTTTTAGCATTGGGGCTGCAAAAAGTGATTTGAAGTGGTAAGGTGACTGAAATCCGTTAGTGCATTACGAGCTTAACGGCCAAACACAAAGAAGCATGGAAGTCTCCAAATGACACGCAGAGGTATTCAGGAATTGTTTAGAACCACCTTGGTAGATATTGTGCAGCATGCCGAGTACAATATTATGCCTGTAGCTGCTTTCAAAGTGTTCCTGTCTGCCCATCCTACCATTGATTGTTGTGATGCTTCGACCTACCCTACCAGATCGCAGGTGAAATTGTTCGTATCTCAGTTGAAAGCTAAACATAAGACGATGATAGCAGAAGCACAAAAGGCTGGCAATTGCTTAGTTAATGATGCTGAGAATGTGGCTTTATTGATATATACTGACTTTACTCCCAGCAGGTAGACCTTAGTACTAGCTAGTATGGAGACTTAAAAATTTATTAATTAACAAACGAAAAGATGTGTCCAAAACCACCTTCTCTGGGAGTTTCTGGATTGAACTTACTTTTAACATTCATTGTAGTGTAAAGACACCTTGGCTACTGAGGGACGTGTTAATACATTTCATAATAACATCCTTCTTTTTACCCACATTCCTAAGAAGGTGTAAGATTGCAAAAATTGTCTTAAAAGGACTTTTTGTTTTTGTTTGTTGGTAAATATCCAATAAATTATAGTTTGTAATTCTCGATACTTCCATAAATATTCTGGTAATTCTAAAATAATCCATGTGAAAGGCTTGTACATATAATTATGATTTTATATAATCAACTAAAATAAGAGAAATCACTACTGTAGAATTGGAGACTTAAACACCATATGTGAAAAATGTGATTTTAAACTGTAAGATAACCATACATCCTATTTTATTTGCAGGTATAATATTCTGAAACTGTTACTTTGTTCAGTATTTGCACATATGGCATAAGTCATCAACATCATTAATTTATCTTTCTCTATAATGTTTGATAAATTTTAACAGGATTTTCAAGGAATGTTTGTATTTTTTTTATCTTACATTCTAAGTTCAGATATAAACTTGACTTTCTTATTTTGAAATAAAACATTTTATGATACTAAGTGATGGACTTTATTATTATTCAAAAGAATAGTTCTCTAATTAAGTTATCTCCTAAATCTCAATTTACAAAACTCCACATCTGATTTATTTTATCTATGCCATACAAATTAAGTTTTCCTTCTTTAAGTAGTAATTGAACGAACAGAAACGAAAACATTACACAACAAATAAAATAGTTTGTGTCAATATTTCTCAAACGAAATACAACCAGTGATAAGTTGGTTGAATGTATCTATCTCACATGAAATAAATTCACGTCAAATTTCAAACTGACACTCACACAAAAGGGAGAGACACTTTAAAAGGTATAGCCTAACATGAATGTATATACTCGAAATATGAAAAAACAAACTAACTATTCATTATCATGTTTCAGCATAATATAATATTTATACTTTTGATTTCACAATTTCAAGTGGAGGGCAGGATCACAAGTCGATTATCAGTTATCTTTAATAAAAATACATGTACTATTGCTTTCACATAAATTCAACTGATATTTTTAATCTAATACATTCTGTTATGCCAAACTAAAAACTACAGTACGACCTTATGTAAACTTTCTATATTATCACACTCGTATTACTGAAAACAAAAATGTTTAAATTTCGCTAAAAAGAAAGAATATATTTTGATCTATAATTGCCACCAATTAAGTTAATTGCAAGCTCTTAAACTCAATGACTTACTACATTTTTTCGTTGGACTAGTATAATATTTGGGCACCTACTGGTAGAGGAACATTCAGATAATAACATTTCTAATAGTTGAAAAGGTACTACTAATATCACTAAATTATTAATTTACTTACTTATTACAATACTATGTAACTTGGTAAGCTACCTGATTTAAGTGATTTTTTTCATGCAGATAGTTTAGATAAGTGTCTGAGAATTAGTTTATTGAAACTGAAAATTTTCCATTCGCCAATGACTAATAATTCTAAGAGAAAGTGTAATGACTGCCCTCTCACAGTGTAACAAATTATACATATAAAAGATGCATTTAATTCGTGTGAAATGTTTGAATGGAGTAAAGTGTGAATTTTGTAATAATTGTAGCAGACGAAATAAATAACTTATAACTGGGTGGTTGATAATTATTACAATATTTAATATCATTATAAACATAATACGACAACTTCCTTACAGATGGTGCAATAACATCCTTCAATAGCGCCATTGAAAATGTTAAAGTCATTTTAGTTGATTGGTTAGACCTTGACGCATTGAGCTATCGTGAAGAAATGATGATTTAGATTCTGTAAGATTAATTTACACAAGACTGTAAGAAGTAAATAATAAAACTTAAATCATAGGAACCATGGATG